GGAGGAATATTTGTGCATGTGTGTGGGAGAAGTTGTGTGTGAGTTGCATCAGACTGAGTGATATATGAGGATGTCGAACTACAGCAGGACATCATCCGACAAGTACCGCTAACACACACACACACACACACACACACACACACACACACACACACACACACACACACACACACACACACACACACACACACACACACACACACACACACACACACACACACACACACACACACACACAGCTAGGTCAGCAGTGAGGGGCCTCTGAGCCAGCAGCAGGTTCAAGTCTTAATGACGAGCATTTCTCTCTGGAAACTTCTCTCCATCTGTTACATGGAGACTCTCTCAAATCATCATTTTTCACCTTGTTAGGCGCTCCTTAAGACGGCATGAAACGGAACGAGGCGGAGGAAGAGGAGACGGGACAACAGAAGTTTGTTTTGCATATGTTTTTGTTGTTGTTGCTTTGTCCTCCTTATGGATGAGAGGAGATGAGGACACGGGAGCTCCAGTGACAGGAGGAATGATAAAAGATAGAAAATGTTTTCATAATGCACCGAAAGAGATATTTTCTTGATCCTCGCCGGATAACAAGAGCGAGAAAGAAACAACACAATAAGAGAGGTGAGGTGGGAGGAGAGGAAAGGGTAATAAGGGACGGGTTGTTCCATTTTCTCCATGTTTAAATCTATATTTTAAGTTGTATCTCTGTTTGTTGTAGCTCCCGAGCGATTCCCCATTCCCCCGCGCCTCAGACGGGATCATTCTGATGGATGACGCATCACAGCATAACGTTTGTCACAGAAACATCTCATCGAACAAAAGCCACAGGAGGGAGAGGCTGAGTCTAACCTGCTCCATGCTGATCCAACGCACACTTCATCCCTGTGTGTTTCTACCAGCATGTTCAACAGCGCTCAGTGTGTCTGGTAGAAAGGTTTTTATTCAAACAAGAAGTCATGTGCTTGATGATGCAAGCAGCGCCAAAAAGTGGCAAGAAAAACTAATTTAAACCCCGAGACATCTCATCAGTCTCTTTAAAACTGTGGGCGTTTGTAACCAGGAAAAATAATGTTTGCTTGTTTGTTTCTTGCTTCAGTTTAGCCTGTGGCGCAATGAAATCCAAACATAATGTCGTAACCTAGTGAAGTCGTGCTTTAAGAAACATTCCTCCTCTTCTGATTGGACAGAACACAAAAGCAACCGGGGATTTACTCACTCAGGTTGTGAATTTAATATTCCCATAATCACAGAAGCACAGGAGTCGAGTAATGCTAGCTATTAGCTAACTGCTACGTGCCCCAACACTATAGGGGAGAAGGGAAAACACAAACAAAACCAGGGAAAAAGGCCTTACTAGCAAACAAGGACGATTTATTGAAAGATTTTGAAAGACTCGAAGAGACATACAAACAGATACTTTTATGCACGACATGTGGTTGTTAATATCCATCAGCAACACAGTCTCACGGCATTTCGTGTTATAGTCACGAAATTAATCTATTGATTCGTCACCAACACGATTTTCGCATTTTTTTCGTGTCACACAGAACGATTTTAAAAGCAATGTAAATAATAACAAATTTGAAGGAAAAAGAGATTAAAAAAAATTGTATTCTGATACAGAACGATTTTAGAAGCAATGTATTTAGGTAGTATGTTTCGTGCCTGCACCAAATAATAAAAAATTAGAAGAAACAAAAAAAAATAAAATACAGATTTCAGTATTCTGAGGCTCTTTTCCTCGCGGAAGGCAAACAAACTCTGACATTATACAATTTAAAATAAAAGGGTTAGAGTTAGGCTTAGGGTAAGATATCGAGTAAGAAAATGTTTTTTATGAACCACACAGCTTCTGGTATTCCAAGACCCGACCGGACAAAAAGACGTGGTGCAGGCACGAAACATACTACCAATAGAAATACATTGCTTTTAAAACCGTTCTGTGTGCCACGAAGAAAATGCAAAAGTCGTGTTGGTGAACACGAATCAATAGATGAAATACATTTCGTGACTATAACACGAAATGCCATGAGACTGGGTTGTGTTAAATATGTTCTTTATTCTCGCGTCCAGGAGAGAAGCTTTAAAATGAGACTAAATGGAGTCTCTGAAAAGATTCAAATGGGATACTTTAATTAAAAAAGGCGCGGTAGTGTTACAGACAGAATATTGTTCCGGCAGAAAACAGCTGTGATCTGGCTCTCATGAGCAAGAAGAGAAGGGCGAATCCCCCGTTCGGTGCCGTTATATATCCTCTGCTGGCTCCTCCCCGCAGCCGGCTCGCCTCGTCTCTAATGTCCGTTGTTGCATTTAAACAGAGGATTGGTACTTTTCACATTCAATATATGCTTAACACGCCTTTTCTCCTCATATTCTCTCTCATCACTTTTCATGTAACACATTCTAAACGCTGTAATCAATACTCTAAAACATACAGAAAATG